CACGCTAACCAACAAAAAAGGCAAAGTACACTTTCCCCCCTCCCATCTGCTGAAACACACCATCTATGATGGAGATGCATTAAAATGTAACTGCAGTATTATTAACCTCTACAAACAAATGGCATTACTCAAATCCAGTGTGAGCCGGGGGTGGGGGTGAGGATGGGTGGGGAGGCGCAGAGGGTGCATATCTAAGCAAGTACAGGCATATATGGGAACAAAACAACATCAAGAATGAATGGATGGACAAAGTAGGAAACAGCACAGAATGAAGTCTCTCAGTGGATAACGGCTGTCAGGCCAAAGTCGTATGCAATTGACAATTCTCCATTAGATACTGATAGCTTATGTTGTTAAACACTTCTCTCTGCCTGCAGGTGTGATGAGATCAGGTACACAGACGTGTGAAGAGAAAGACGCATGGGGGGTGGTTTTATTTTTGCATTTGTCGATGTGAATGTGGGAATCTGAAGGCATGAGTTGTGAATGTGTCTGAATACATGCTTCCATGCAAATGTGTGCCCGAAATTCTACTCCAACAGATACCGAGTGACACTCATTTTATTCTCTTTCTTCTCCCTCCCGAAAAGGCACCATTCCCCCTTCCCCGGAACATTTTCAAACTCTCTTACTTCTTCTTCTTCTTCTTCTTCTTCCTTTTTTTTTTTTTTAAATAAGGCCTCTGGCCTTACACCACTGTTTATCACCTAAGGCAAACTCCCTCTCTCACTCCTTTTCCCTCTCTGTTCCTTTAAATCTCTGAACCACAAAGCAGCATGCGAGGAACACCGCAGGTCAAGTTATCAAAAGAGGGAACTTTTATAGGTTTCCTTGATAACATGGACAATGAAAGAGAAAGGGTGCGCAAGCAGCCTTACTGACCTTATTTGATGCTGTGCTTAAAAGGGAGGATGATTCCGCAGACGTCTGCATGTGTGGGTCCAGGCCATTGGCAGGGGGAAGAGGAAAGCTCCGTATCAACACGTAGTCTGGGTTTCCTATGCCTCTTACACTAAAGCTTTCCAAGTGTTTTCAGCAAATAATACCCAAATAAACAGAAGGTTACTGAATATGTTAAACTCACTGCAGCAAGAAATTGCTTCTTGACACCCAATACATATAGAAAAACTCTATACATATATATAATATACATATACACACATGAGTATACTCATGTATATATAATATATATTATATTTATACATATACATCTACACATTGCAGAAATTCATACTCTGTAGTGCAGACATATATATGCATATACATACATGTATACACACACATATATATATATATATATATAATATACATATATCAATACATTAAGGCAGGAATTATATTCAAGATTTATGTGGTGTCAGTCATCAGAACATTCTCCATTTAGGCATTTTGTTTTGTAGGCTGAAAATTGTGACTACATTTTAAAGAGCTCATTGCTATCCTTTCAGATGAAACCATGTTCCATGTTAAGACCGTGCCCTTTTCCTTGGGGGTGATGTGACTGCTGACATCCATGTGACATGGTCTCAGAATTCAGAAGGCTTCATTGGTTCTTAGGAGAAGCAGCTTTTCCTGCACTTCCCAAATATTGGGGTTTAAATTATCAGATGAGTATCTAAGAAATAACAATTTCTGTTGTGTTTTTTTGATTACTGATAATTGTACCATCTGATTTTGGTCAACGTTAATGTTTTAGTGATTTGGAAACAAGGATTGTTTGGTTCTATAATTTTTCTTATGATGAAACTCATAGTCTCACCAAGGTGACAAGTAGGGCCTTGTATGTTGCAGGTGCTTAATAAATAAATTTGTTAAATTTAATTTGTTTCAGGATCTTGATTTTGTTATATCCTTCTCAGAATACTGCCCCTTTCCTTTCACTACTTCATTTCCAGGGATGAAGGTCTCTCTACTCACTCTTCCCCCTCCAAATCCCACTCCCTGTAAGAAAGGACAAGTACCTTATACAAGAGATAGATGATTTTCTCCACCTTGAATGAAATGTTATTATTTGATTCTTGAGGTCATGAGCTCAAATTTTTTTCTTTCTTTTCAAAGTACAGTGTCTATTTTATTAAGAGTGTTTCTTTTTAAAATTTTGTTAAAATTTCCTGGACAATTTTTATCCCTACCTTTATCTCTGCCTCAATGGATTGTATGCCAAAATAATTTTATCAACTTTCACTTCAGTCACGTCCCAGAGTTGAATTGGAGGATATGTATATAACATGTGCATGTGTGTGTTCGGAGGTAGAGGCAGTTATTTCGGGTTTTTTTCCCTATGTATAACATGTAGTCTTCATTTCTGATACCTATGACACATGATAAATTCAAAGATGTAAGGTGCCCCAAATGCAGAGTCTCTAAATGGTTAAATTGTTCACAAAGTGCAAACACCAACCAACGTAAGCAAGTGGGCATGGATGAGTACTCAGTGACAGAAATGGATGGGCATTTGTTGCCTTGGGCCTCCTTTGTAAAGGAAGAAGTGTTTTCAAGAGTACAATCCTGCCTCAGAGTGGATGGTGACAATTACTTTGAAGGCTACCCGTTCTTCCTGGCACCACCAGCTCAAGGAATGGCATGACAGCAGAGATCTGTCACAAAGCAGCTTGTTTCTCCCAGAAATGACAGCACTGCCCCCTACCCACTGGGCAGGAGCTCTAAGGTATCACCAGGGCAGTCAGGATGTACCTCTCATCCCCAGCCTGCTTGCACCATGAAACACATTCATATCTGCATGAATATTTATATCAGACGCGGCAAAGATGTGTGTAAGAGTTGCTGTGGCTTCCGCTCCTCCTCCACCATATATAAACTGTACATACAGGCAAATAGATGTAAACAGAAAATTAATTCTTCTATTTACTTGGCAGACTGAATAAAGGCTAAACAATGAAAAACACACTCACACGCCCTCTGACACCCTGCCCAAGCTGGAGAGCTCTCAATGCTGAGCCTGAAGACTGGCTGGCTCCCTCTCTCTCTTCCCTCTTAAGAAGATACTTGGAAGCGAAGGGATTGCTCCCAATCCGGCCGTGTGATGCACATACATGCATTGCAATATGCCTGCTCTGATTTCTCTGCCTCTCCTTCCCTCCCCTCCCTCTCCATGTCTCTTATTCTCATGTTCAGTGGTTATCTTAGCTTCATGCAGTGACATCACAGCTCCCTCCGTGAGATCAAGTCCTGGATGATGAATTCTGAATACATCTTCCCTGATCACTTTCACATGATGGGATTTTAGTAAGCTAATATTTATTGCTCATCCCTATAAAGCAAGGTGTAGGCTGGGTACGTGTGTGTGCACATGTTTTCTACATAGATTATTCGGCATTGGTTGGACTGATACACTCGGGCCGTAATATGTTGATGACAGCTTGGCCTGAGCATTTGTAAACTGGGGGTGGGTGGGGATGTAGGGCTTTATTAAGTGTGCTCATTTTTATACAGCCAAGCTGAACGAATAGCCACCTGCCCATTGTAACCACTTGAATTGGGAGAGTTTATATGTCAAGACTGAATGAGATAGTTCTCGACAGAGCAGAGGTGCCTGAGAGCAATATGACATCTCATTTCTCAGTGTCATAGACCAGTCTAGAAGATATGTATATAAAACACATGCAAGGATTATTATTATTTTTTTCATTTAGAGATTTAAGGTTGGCTCTTACCCCCTGCAATTATTCATACTATGGGAAGTGTCTGCTTTTAAAGATGAGTATACAGCAGGATCTGCAATCCTAAAAATAAAATAAAATTCAATATTGCTAGACTTTGTGATTTTTTTTTTTGGAGGGGGGAAGGGGGCAGTTTGGAATGCATCTGTGATCCTTAACCTCCTCCCTCTATTAGAAATACAGCTTCTAGACAGCAACAATCAGACCATCAAATGTGCTTTGTAGTGTTCAGTTTTATAGTTTCAGGTGCCCAGGGACCATGGACAGGGAGAGGGGTTCCCAACACCATGCTGAATTACTATGTTAGGAGGGGGGGACAGCCTGGTGAGTGTGGGCAGGTATGTTTTTCAACATGACTCTCGTGGAGCGCACACACATGATTAACATTCCCCTGCCGAGGTTTATGGCTTCATTAGAATATTTCTCATCATAATTGAATAGGTAAAAATACCTGGCTATTAAATACAAGCCTGTCCCTCAGGATGACCAGATTATCACTTGAATTTAAAATCTTTCTGAATTTTTAATAGTGCATAACAAATATGATTATTTATGCACTTTCTTCCAATACTCTTCTTTCCGGGCCTACAATTACTCAGGGCTCCTTCTGTTTCAATGGAAAGGAGTAAATTAGGTTGGTGCTGCTCTCTGTACATTTTCCCTCTCCTCCTCTAAAATATTTAGCCCACAGGTTCCTATTTCCCTGTGAACTGGATTAGGGAAGCCTGTCCAGTGTGCTTTCCTGATACTGGCAGAGTCTTGGCTTCCCTATTTGGTAAGCTGAGGTAATTAGCACCATGGAGGAGTTAGGAGAAGCAGCAGTGAAAAGGAAGCGATGGAAGAAACCATAAGGCTGGCTGATGAGAAAGTCAAGTGGAGGCCTGCCTGTCTCAAACCTCTTCAATAGATCTGTAGTCTGGACTTGAACCCTGCCCTCTCACCTCAGGGTCCGATATTTCTTTTTTTTTTTTCCTTCCTAACTCCCCTGCCCCCACTCTCTCTTCTCCTGGCTTTTCTATCAAGCAGTGATGTACTCAGGCTGACTGTGAATAAATGTGAGTGACCCCCATCCACCCACCCCCACTTCCCGGAGCCTTCTGCTGGAGAGAGAGGGAGAGGGAGAGGGAGAGGAGAGGAGAGAGAGAGAGAGAAGAGAGAGAGAGAGAGAGAGAGAGAGAGAGAGAGAGAGAGAGAGAGAGGAGAGAGAGAGAGAGAGAGGAGAGAGAAGACAGAAAGAGAGAGGAGAGAAAAGGAGAGAGAGAGAGAGAGAGAGAGAGAGAGAGAGAGAGGAGAGAGAGAGAGAGAGAGAGAGAGAGAGAGAGAGAGAGAGAGAGAGAGAGAGAAAGGGTCCCCGACTTCCTCACAGGTAATTAAAGGGACTGTTTTCAAGGTTGCATGGGCAAAAGACAATTCGGCCCTAATGAAGCATCGATCGACTGCCAGTAAGGTAGAAAGAAGCTGACATTCATTCAAAGGTACCTTTAACTGATGTAAAACACTGGACCGGGAATTATTCTGACTCTGCTGTCATTGCCTATGACCTGGTTTAGAAAAAAAAATGGGAGTTTGTTTTAAATTTATTTTATTTCAGTATTGCCACAAATGTGAATGTTGGGCTTTGTTTTGAAAAAAAAAATGATGGATCAGGGCACATCCTATTTGATTGTGGTGAGGGGTGGGAACCCTTCCCCCCCTTTAGGGTAAATTTTCTTCATTAGTCACGTTTAAAAGCCCACCAATCAGCCCTGACGATGCGGAATTCATGAGGTCAGTTATGGAGATGCAGGAAATTATTGGGGATTGGTAGGGACGTTTCGGTGGTCTGTTTGCAAACCAAGCCTTGAATGATTCCAAGGGTTTGGTCTGTGTCTATTTTGTGTTGGTGCTTGGTATTTTAAGACAAAAACAAAACTCTTGGGTCGGGGGAGTGTTATTTGTTTGGGGGGGGGGAGAAGGAAATTGTGAGAACAAGATGGGAATGTATGGCTGGGGTGGGGAGATGGAGAAAAGGACTAATTGCTTGCTGGAATGAGGTTTTTGGAAACATAGACAGAGATGTCATTTTCATATTCCAAAAATGAAACCCAGCCAAAATCTCACTGGAAATAGAATATGTTCCAGGCATCCCTTCTATGGCTGAAGCAGAAAAAAAAAAGGCTGGAGTCCTGGCTGTTTCAGGGATCTTACCCTGGCTCTATGGCTTGGTCTGTAGCTTCTGTCTTTTCCCATTCACCCTATATGTTTGCATCCAGAAAATAGGTGAACGATAATAATAAAAGAGAAAAGGATAAGGAAATGCCAGTTGTGCCAAGTAAATTGGGGTGAATGATGGGGGAGGATAGCCAGTATTGATTCCGAAACAACTGGAGTTCTGTTTGCTAAGTCCTTACACATAGTCCAGCACTCCTTGGTGTTACAAGAGGCCCCCGACTTCAACAATAGCACGTCCCTTCAGAGTAAGAAACACAAAGGGAATTTGCTCGATTCAATCCACAGAGTGAGGCCCCTCTGGGGCTAAACAGAGTCACTTTTTACCCTGACTAAAATGAGGGAGAGAAAAAGAATTCTCTTGCGCGCGCGCGCACACACACACACACACACACACACACACACACACACTCAGTGTGTTATAAACTGGAGAAATGAATACTTGACAGATTTCAAATCCCCAGCTCTTTCTCACATTTCTCAGAATTTATTGTTGCTTCTTGAATTTTCTTTTAATTTTGGCTTGGCTTGGGAGGGTGAGGATGTTGGGAGGTGGTGGGGCATATTATTTAACTTGATAAGCATTACAACACTGTCTATCTATCTCCCTCCCCCTGCCTCTCTCTTTTTCCTCTGCTATTTTTTCATTTGTGTTTACATTTCTAAGACATCCCTTTAGCTGAAGGAGGATACTTCCCACATCCTTGCCATTAATGCAAAAAGATCATTTCTTAGATGTACAGACTCTGAACCTGAATTTTAAAAGGAAATTGGAATGCAGTTGGCTAGGTTCACTACATTCATATGTATTTGGTTTGTATATTTCTTGCCTTTGTTTTTAAAACAGTTTACTACATTCTATTTATCAGTTTGATTGCTTTTTCCTTCTTTCTTCTTTTTTTTTCCTTCCTTCCTTCCTCTGCTTTTTCCTTCCTTCTCTTTTTTCCTTCCTTCCTTCTTTTTTCTTTCTCTATTGTTTTCTTTCTCTTTCTTCCATCCTGCCTTCCTTTCTTTTTGTCTCTTTATTGTTTTTCTTTCTCTTCCTTCCTTCTTTCCTTCCTTCCTTTTTCCTTTTCTTCCTTTCTTTACAAAGAATAGGTCAGTAAACAGAGGCAAGGAATTGTAGGCAACACATGCTGAAATTTAAAAAAAAAACTTTTCCCTAAAAATGGCTAAACTGTAGCCCAGCAGATCCTATCTGCCTTCATTTGGTTGAACAACAAGATATTGCTGGGGACAAACTCTGAATAAAGCAGTTCCGAGTTCCCAGAATTGGCACAGCTCAGCCTAAACAATGGCTGCTTCCTATTCACCTTAACCCTGCTTTTCAAAAGAACATCCCCAGAAACACAAAGCATCAGCGGGAAATGGCAATTTTATGAATCCTAATCAATCAAAGGGCTTATTAACTCAATGTGAAGCCAGATTAAAATCTTTAATTATAAATCGTGCTAAAAGGAAAAACAAAATGTACTTATGGTACATTGAAAATTCCGGATATTAACATAGTTGCTATTATCTCTTGCAATATTAAATTCCCCCTCCCTTTCCCCCAACAAGCTCACCTTTTTCTCTTCCCAAAGAGCAAGACTACAGAACCCAAATCATTTTTTTCTTTCTTCTAGGTTTATTAAAGTGTATTCTTCCTACCTCTTCCCCCTACCCTGCTCTAGTCCCCTTGCCTCACCATACACCCAATAGTTTGCTGGAAAGCTGGGGTGGTAGGTATATAGGGGGTAAAGGAAACCCCATTATAGCAACCCGGGGAGAGGCAGGCATCAGGGTGGGGGTGGAACAGTGAGGATGGTTTGAACAGTTGTTTATTAAGGGGGAAGATTTGGAGTTACAAGGATTTTTTTTTTTTTTTGGTGAGGGGGCAGCAATCAAACGTGAAGCATTTTCGCTAATGAAAGCGGCATGCATGTCTGTGCAAGTGTGCGTGATTGACAGGATTGGAGATTGCTAGCCACAGGAAGGGCCCTCGCTTTAAGCCACGGTGTGAGAAAAGGCCATGGGTGCTTTTTTATCAGGCAGACATTTGGGAAATGACCACAGCAAATTTAATCACAGTTGGGGGGTGAGGGGGAGAGGGAGGTAGAGCAGGGACGGCGATTCACATGTTTTATTTATTTGTTCCGAGTCACGGTCATCCTATTGTGTGTCCCTCATTCTGTCATTTCAGGCCCCTCCGACCCACCCCCTACCCGGTCCCCATTGTTAATGTAAGAGGCAGAGAATATAACCACATTTTATAATAACAACATATACAACATCACAAAAGCAGGAGCCTCATCTAGAGAAGGGCCTTTTGCTTGCCAGGAAAATGATAAATACACACATACATGCACACATATATATATTTAACACACACATAAAACATATATTTAACATCTATATCTATATATTGACGTCTATATAGGAATTTATATCAATATATACAAATATGGATAGATAGATGTAACTATATGTCTCTATATATTGATATATACAAATATGGATATATAAATATACCTATATATCTATATCAATATTTACAAATATGGATATATAGATATTCCTATATATTTAAATGCATTAATAGATACAAATATGGATATATAAATATACCTATGTATCTATATAAGTATTTACAAATACAGACATATAGATATAGTTATATATTTAAATACATTAATAGATATAAATATGGATATATAAATATGCCTATATGTTTAAATATACTGATAGACACAAATATGGATATATAAATATACCTATATAGCTACATCAATATATACAAATATGAACATGTAAATATGCCTATATGTTTAAATATATTGATAGAAATATGGTAATGGATATACTTATATATCTGTTTATGGATAGCAATATATAAAAATATTGATATGTAGATAAATGTATATACCTATCTAGGTATATCAATATATACAACCATGGGTATATATATATATATGTATATATATATGTATATATATATGTATATATATATATATGTATATATATATATATATATGGATGGATATGTAGATATACCTATATATAGATATCTACATATGCAGATTTAGATATATAGATATACCTATATGTAGATATCAATATGTGCAAATATGGATATATAGACATACCTACATAGCTAAGGATTTTGGTACCTGTATCAATATGTAGATATCTGTTCTAATGATGAGGCAGAATGGATAAGGCAATTTGTTCCCATTATAAAAATTTGGCAATTTGCTTATGCTTAGCCAGGATATGTGCCCTCATCTCTTCCCCTCACGTATATCGGCCATTTTAAGATTCTATTTTTATATTTGCAGTGTAAGCCTCACATCACTGAATTGAATTGGGGAATGGGGGGAGAAGAAAAGGAAAACCTATGCATTTTCTTATGTACCATCCTACCTAATGAAAGAAGGTGACACTGTGGCTTAAATGAAATTCTACTTCTTTTTTTGTTGGTGGTGTTTAAAGTTTGTTCATACCTCTGTCTTTTCAACCCTCCCTCTGACACAATCCCCTCCTGTTGTTTTTTTTTTCCCCCTTCAATCTTAATGATGAGGCCCTCTCCTTCCAAAATTAGGTCTCTTAAGAACCACTGCATGCTTCCTGACTGCCACAGGAATAGGTTTCATCCAGAGAAAGAAGAGGGTAGGATACAGTGTGTGTATGGAAGGGGTAGGGGAATGAGAAATAAAATAACTCCTGACAACAATTTTGGAACTGTATGAAGTCTGATTTTCATAATGCAAGGTCAACTTCATTCTATTTTATCAGAATGCTGGGTCTAAAATGCCCCATTTAAACCCAAATTGTGGAAAGGAATTGACTTTGATGGACACTAACTAAGATAGCCTTGGTTGGCAATTCCTTGCCCTATCCTTTGTACTTTGTACTTTGTTCCATAGGTACCTGAGATCAATTCCACACCATTTCCCTATAGTTACTATTCTTGAACTAGAAAAGAAATGTGGTTGGTTTCTGACCACTTTGGACAGTTGCAATATGGGTAATAGTTAATATAATTTTAAAACAATTGACAAATGTCCCTCTGCGCTTTGTGCAAATACAGATATATGCCATCATCACATTATTTGTGAACTCCTAGACACATTTTTTTATTTTTGGTACATAGGCCTATAAATAAGCCTTCCCTCTCTAAGGGTATATAGAGGAATCTAATTTGTCTTTTGCTAATACGAGGGCACTTTTAAATAGAAACCCCATCCTCTCTGATTTTATACCTTTACAGACAGACTGATCTGTAGTT